TTATATCCATTCGTATTCTTTCTCAATCTCATTTCCGATCTCATTCCCAGTCTCCTTCTCATTCCCATTCTCATTCTCAATTTCGATCTCAATCTCATTCTCATTTCCAATCTCATTCCTAATCTCATTATTATTTTCATTCCCATTTCCAATCTCAGTCCCAATTTCATTCCTAATCTCATTCTCAATCACATTCTCAATTAAATTCCCAATCTCATTCTCAATCTCATTCCCAATTTCATTCCCAATCTCATTTCCAATCTCAATCTTACTCACAATCTCATTCGTAATCTCATTCTCTATCCCAATCTCTTTCTCAGTCTCATTTCCAATCTCATTCCCAATCTCATCCCTAATCTCATTCTTAATCCCATTCCCAATCTCAATCTCAATCTCAATCTCATTCTCAGTCTCATTTCCAATCTCATTCCCAAACTCAATCTCAATCTTATTTCCAATCTCACTCTCATTCCCAATCTCATCCCTAATCTCATTCCTAATCCCATTCCCAATCTCAATCTCAATCCAATTCTCATTCTCAATCTCATTCATAATCTCATTATTATTCTCATTACCGATCTCATTCCCATTTTCAATCTCATTTCCAATCTCAATCCCAAACTCAATCTCAATCTTATTTCCAATCACATTCTCAATTTTATTCTCAATCTCATGCCCAATCTCGATCTCAGTCTTATTTCCAATCTCATTCCCAATCTCATTCTCATTCCCAATTTCATCCCTAATCTCATTCCTAACCCCGTTCCCAATCTCATTCTCAATCTCAATCTCAATCTCATTCCAATTCTTAATTTTTATTTTCATTCTCCATCTCACTCTCAATATTCTCATTTTCATTCTCACTCCATTCTTATTTTTATTATCATTCTCATTTTCATTCTTATATTCTGTTATAATCATGTATATTATAAGTCATATCATTATTGTTGCATCATTATTGTACTATTATAAAGGTATTCCAATCTCATTCCCAATCTCATTCTCAATCTCATTCATAATCTCATTATTATTCTCATTACCGATCTCATTCCCATTTTCAATCTCATTTCCAATCTCATTCCCAATCTCATCCCTAATCTCATTCCTAATCTCATTATTATTTTCATTCCCATTTCCAATCTCAGTCCCAATTTCATTCCTAATCTCATTATTATTTTCATTCCCATTTCCAATCTCAGTCCCAATTTCATTCCTAATCTCATTATTATTTTCATTCCCATTTCCAATCTCAGTCCCAATTTCATTCCTAATCTCATTATTATTTTCATTCCCATTTCCAATCTCAGTCCCAATTTCATTCCTAATCTCATTATTATTTTCATTCCCATTTCCAATCTCAGTCCCAATTTCATTCCTAATCTCATTATTATTTTCATTCCCATTTCCAATCTCAGTCCCAATTTCATTCCTAATCTCATTATTATTTTCATTCCCATTTCCAATCTCAGTCCCAATTTCATTCATAATCTCATTATTATTACTCATTACCGATCTCATTCCCATTTTCAATCTCATTTCCAATCTCAATCCCAAACTCATCTCAATCTTATTTCCAATCACATTCTCAATTTGATTCTCAATCTCATGCCCATCTCGATCTCAGTCTTATTTCCAATCTCATTCCCAATCTCATTCTCATTCCCAATTTCATCCCTAATCTCATTCCTAACCCCGTTCCCAATCTCATTCTCAATCTCAATCTCAATCTCATTCCAATTCTTAATTTTTATTTTCATTCTCAATCTCACTCTCAATATTTTCATTTTCATTCTCACTCCATTCTTATTTTTATTATCATTCTCATTTTCATTCTTAATCTTATTCTGTTTATAATCATTATTATTATCACGTCATTATCATTATTGTTGCATCATTATTGTAATTATTATAAAGGTTATTGATAACATCGGCTCAGTTGTTGTTGTTGTAGTAATAGTAGTAGTCGTAGTAGTAATCGTAGTAGTAGTAGCAGTAGTTGTAGTAGTAGTAGTAATCGTAGTAGTAGTAGTAGTCGTAGTAGTAATCGTAGTAGTAGTTGTAGTAGTAGTAGTAGTAGTAGTAGTAGTTGTTGTAGTAGTAGTAGTAGTAGTAGTTGTTGTTGTTGTTGTTGTTGTTGTTGGTGGTGGTGGTGTTGTTGTAATAGCAGTAGTTGTCGTAGTAGTAGCAGTAGTAATAATAGTAGTACCAATACCAGTAGTGGGCGTGGTTGTCATTGTACTGGCAATAGTTATTATTGCGTTATATAACTGCTATGGCTCAAATCGCCTCACTTTTACCCTAACATAATTCCTAACAGCACCACCACGAGCCTAAAAGGAAAGTCTTGGCGTCCCTAAGTCTTTCCTTAAATCCGTGTGTGTCTTGTGAAGATGCTGTGTATTGTAACAGCGAGAGATATCCGTGTTTATATTTTCTTATATTTGTTCTACTTTTTTTCTTATCTTCGCAAACGGTTGAACAGCACCGACTAGATTTTTTT